AGGAACTGAGTAGAACAAAAAGGTGAAGCTGGGACATCATCTTCTGCCCTTGGACATCACTGCCTAGTTCTTTAGCCTTCAGACCCATACTGAATTACACCACCAGCTTTGCTGGTTCTCCAAATTGCAGTCAACAGATCGTGGAACCTCTCAATATACAGTATAATGATCTATATACTGTCTGATATATAAAGGTAGGTAGATAGATAAAGATATACAGATAAAGATATCTCTTCATATATCCTATCGGTTCTATTTCTCTGGAGAACCCTGACTAAGACAACCGAGTACCACAAGTACACCAACCCCCAAAAAGCCCACAGCACAAAACTTTCAGGTCAAACTGCAAAGCAAACTCTTTGGTGTCAGAATATTTGGGCGTTTTCCAATGAAAACACACCTTCTAAAGAGAAGGGTGTCCCTGAAGACAAGAGGATTTAATATGGAAGGAAAGGTGATTTTATAAAAAATGGCCAAAAGCCAGGCAGGGGAGCAATAAAGAAGCAAGGTGAGTGTCCACTCTGTACCATTTCCCATCCATTCAGCGGGACACATCGGGAATGTCAACACCAGGGGTCCTCAAACTATGGCCCCGCAGGCCACATGCAAATACAAATACTGTATTTGTTCCCGTTTTGTTTTTTTACTTGAAAATAAGATATTTGCAGTGTGCACAGGAATTTGTTTATAGTTTTTTTTTTAAACTATAGTCCGGCCCTCCAACAGTCTGAGAGACAGTGAACTGGTCCCCTGTTTAAAAAGTTTGAGGGCCCCTAGTCAACGCCATCCAGTGGTACAGATATTTCTAGAGCTCAGTTATCATGGAGAGTGCTGGTGACTTCAGTCATACCTTGTATTAATCTACCATGTGTTTATTCTGTGTGAAGTCCAGGGACAGATGTTATAAATCTAACCACAGTCATGATCCACTTCAGGGGATCTGAGGGTGACGGTTGGTTCCAGGGCATGGGAGAACCTGATGCGTTGGACATCTGTTGCAAAGAGAATAAGGAACTATACAGGGAAAGCCAAGTTCTGGGATTTCCCTGTTCATAGCTTTTAGAGACATATGTTGAGTGGCATTTACTGCTCATTAGCCCAGATACCTCTGAGAGATTCTGCCTAAACTACTATCAATCTCTTATTCAAGCAGCATGTAGATGGCCATGTATATTCATGAGGAGAAAAAAAAAAGCTATTGTGTGTCTTTGAAAAGAAAGATCAGTAAAGGCCAAAGATTTAAAATGTAGCTCCGTGTCAATCTAATGAACAAAATAAACTGATGAACAAAATAGATTCAGAGACACAGAACCATGAACAGACTGATGAATTTCATGAGGGGAGTTGGGGATGGGAGTGTGGGGAGTGGAGAGATTAACCCGAGAACTTAAATGCATATATGCATAGCCTATGGACACAGACGATAATGTGGCGAAGGCTTGGGAAGGGCAGATCTGGGGAGGAGGGGGGCCAATGGGAAAAAAACCCAAAGGGGACAACTGTAATACTTTCAACAATAAAGATAAATTTAAAAATAAAATGTAGCTCCATGTCAACTAGAGCATCCCTCTCTCTCAGACACACACACACATATGCCCACACGCACACACACACATCCCTTGTTGAACCCTTGGCAGACATCAGTAATCAATCACGGTAGATGATTACTGCTGAGATTGTGATCTCTGACTCTGATTCAGCTCAGGACTCCAGGGAGCCACTACCTGACTTTCAGCCTTAAGTCTCCTGAAGAAACTTTCCCATCCCTGGCCTAGTTTTCCCATTAGTTGGGGACAGTATTTTGAGTATTTTTAGCTGTATACCCTGCTCTTACTCCTGCCGCCTTGCCTCAGGTTCCAGCTGTCCTTCAAGGCACCCCTCTTTGCTCTTTGCGACCTTCTGTGTCACAACTTGCCCAAGAGGCGCTGGGACAGTTAGGGATGACGTTCAGTATATTTGACAACTGGTTCAGCCCAGGTGCTGATCAAGGAGAATGGCTCCCTGCCCACGAACACCCATGAAGACTGCCCTACTCACGGTGTGTGTGACCTTGGAGAAGCATGGCAGCCAGCCAGGACGTTGGCATTTTCGTGCAGCATTTGCAAGATAGGCTGACTTGTACACTTGATAAAAACAGAACCAGCTGGACATTCCAAAGGACTTTTGAATTAGGGTGACTGCTCAGCCCAGATCTGTGGCCTTCATGCTCACGGGCCCAGCACATTCCTTGTTCTTGTTCTTATGAAGGGTTTGTGTGAGGGTGTCTTTTCTTGGGTCCTTAGCATTCCTTGGTTATCGCTCCCCACCTCAACCTTCTGGAATTTTCTACAGCTAAGGATTCTTCTCTTTGGCCCATTTTTAAAAATATGGACACACATGCAGAAAAGGAGTCATTATTTGGCGGCTTATGCAGTTTCCTTTCAGCATTAGAGTCAAAAAGTACTTGTCCTTTATCTCTATTCATTGAAAAGAAAAATAATAAAGGGTAAACCTCCATCTAGCAAATAAATGATTCTATCCCCCTTGAATGACATGTATCTTAGAACTGGTTCCCAATGTGTGTACCTTAGATTTTTTTGCCTGCACTGAATTCCCTGGTTTGTTTTTTAAACATCGATGCCAGGGTCCCACCCAAGACCTACTAAATAGAAACACTTAGGCATGAGGGCCAGGACTCCACATTTTTTACTAAGGTTTGCAAACCAGGGGTATAGAGACTTTTGGTTGTTCTGCTTAAAGGGTTTGCCTTCTCTTTTAAAAAAAAATTATTTATTTATTTATTTATTTCAAAGAGGAAGGGAGAGAGAGATAGAAACACCAATGATGAGAGAGAATCATTGATCCGCTGCCCTCTGCACGCCCCCTACTGAGGATTGAGCCTGCAACCAAGGCATGTGCCCTTGACCAGAATTGCACCCGGGATCCTTCAGTCTGCAGGCTGACACTCTATCCACTGAGCCAAACCAGCCAAGGTGGGTTTGCCTCTCTTGAACTGATTACTTAACCTTAACATTTTGAAAATTCAGAATATTAGCTTTTCTTTGTCCTTTTTATAGAATTTAATCACAGATGAAACAAGGCATCTGATATAGAAATAAACACTGGCCCATGTATCATTAAATATATACAAGGGCAATTCCTGGTCATGTCCCTGGAGGGCAAATGAGTTGTTTGTTTCTATGTCATGAATCCAGTCAACATCGATCATTCGTAGGGACAGAGGGAGAATCAAGGATAGGTGATACCAAAAGAGAAATCACCCAGAGTATTTTATGTCTAGCTCTGGAATGTGCTAAGGCCACAGTGTGACTTGGGCACTGGGGTCTCCCTTGGTCCCTGGCCTTGGGACCCCTTCAGGTTCCCTCACACACTTGACAGAAAGGAAGAGGCCCTGCTGTCATGGATTAACCAGGCCTGGTCAAGCCAGGATTGTTTCTGATAAGAGTGAGTCTCTGTGCCCCTAAAGCCTTTTCATGATTTGTTTTTAAGTCTCAGGATTAAAATGCCAGTCCCCAAATAGCCCTCTGTGGACATCAAAAGTATACCCCACATTCAAATATGTGTCTTGTGGTTTCATTCTGGGAATAGACTAGTGGGGTTAAAAGATGGTGGACTTTGGGCTCAAACTCAGTTCAAATACAGACTTGGCTGGTTAACAACTCAGGAACCTGCTCAAGTGACTTATCTTCTCTGAGCTTCAGATTTCTCTTATTTTAAATGGGCATAATATTTCATCGCGGTACTAAGGTTGTAGCGCAATCATAGATATGAAAAGCACTTTCCTGGCACAAAGTATAATGCTCGGTAAATGCTAGTGTCCTTTCACTTAAGAAACTGGGTGCATTTCCAAAGCTCGGCATTATCTCTCCCGGTCAAAGTGAATTAATCATTGACGGGCAAAACCAGGTCACAGGAGATCTAGGAAACAAGAACAGAGCTGTCCTTCAGCTCAGGGTTTCCAGTGGACTTTGGAAACTTACAGATGAGCACATGTTATGTACATTCAAAACGCCAATTACCACCCACATAGGAAGGACATTATCCCAGAGAAAAGAACAGCTGGCAACAACATGCACACACACACACACACACACACACACACACACACACACACACAGACACCACCTTTGCTCTTCTTTCTCGTTGGCTGTAGATCAGACCCAGTTTGACTTGCCCTTTGGGGCTGGAAGGGGACCTGAGCCTATCGAGGGGGGCTTGAAGCATCCTGAAGCCAGGAGCAAGACGCCGCACCCCGCCTCCTCGCCCCCCACGCCCGACCGCCCCGCTCCAGGCACTCGCGTTGCTGAGTTCCTCCCACCTGCACCAGCTGCACTCCTCTCTCAGCCAAGAGGCCACAGAGCAGAAACGGGACCTGGACAGAAGATGGAAGGAAAATTTCCCTCCAAAGTCGTGGCCCCGCCCCCAGGCTGTCTCCAGGGACATCACCAGCCGCCTCCCTCCTGTCCCTCTTACCTAAGAAGGGCAGATGACGCAGACGCATGACGTGTCATCTGTGATTCTACCAGGGACACCGTTTGCGGAAAGATGTTCCTTGTGCTGCAGCATTTCTGGTCTCAAGGTAGCCAGAAACTGTTTAAATGAGACTTCCTCCGCCTTGCTCGTTTCTTAATACTTGCTTATTTTTAACCTGGACATGACGCACGAAAGGACCCGATGGAGGTAGAGCTGGAGGCGCTCTGGAAGGGTGAACCGCACGTGAAGGATGCGCACAGCACCCACTGCACCACCCTCACTGTCTGGGGGAGATGATCCTTTGGACTCGAATCGACGAGGCCGAGTTTGTGCGGTATACGAAGGCGGCCTGGTCTCACTCTTTTGCATCCATCCGTGCAATTTTCCCACGCACCTCCATTGCGCCTGGCGGTGAAGCTGAAGTTCATACAGCATGGCATCATTTTAAAAAAAAATTTTTTTCCCCCATTTTGATTTCAGAAGACAGGAAGGGAGAGGGAGATAGAAATATCAATGGTGAGAGAATCATCTGTCAGCTGCCTCCTGCACGCTCCCACTGGGAATGAAGCCTGAAACTCCAGCATATGCCGGGATGGGGAATCCCTGGTCACCTCCTGGTCTGTGGGTTGATGCTCAACCACTGAGCCACACCAATCCACCAGCCATGGCATCTTGACGCTGGGTGATGGTCTAGTTCTAGTTGCTCATTCTACAGGTTAGGATTCCCCAGCCTAATTCAGTGGAAGTGAAAGCCCACAGTTGGTGGTGAAACCCAGGCCAGTTTCCTGACTCTCATGCACCACCTGCATCCACCAGCCTGTGGTTGGCCATGAGCTTCTCCACATGATCACAGTCAGCTCTCAAGGGATCTGGGTCATATACAGTCAGAGGATAGGTGCTCAGGAATCCTTGTCAAAATAAATGACGTGTCTGCCTCAGACTTTCTTTAGTTTCTTTTCAAGTTTGCATAGATTGGAAATGAAACCAGACAACTATAGTCCCCTACTCACATGAACATGTGATTTGTCGACATTCTTTCAAGGAATTGCCCTTTTTGCCCGTTAAAAACAATATTTTGGATAGAGAATATTTAAGAAAATAAAATACATGAAATGTATCATTATACCCATCAAAGAAATTCAGTAGCATCCAAAATAGGTTTCTTTTTAAGATAATACATAAAATATATTGGGATGTACACTATGTTCCTTTAAGGAGTGGGAGAAAGGCTGGGGTAGGGTTAGTTCACTTCCAGCAGAGATTATGATTATTTCACTTCCAGCAGAGATTATGTTGAAGAAAAACCTAAAATCAGAATTTGTAATGCCAACAAAGGAGATGATAACAATTAGATGGTTTGAATTAGTAAAATTTGCACTCTGAATGTCTTTCTTAGTATAAAGAAAGCATACAAGGCATCTCCCTGAGAACATATTGATATACAGTATGCATGTGTGTATGTGAGAAAGCTCCTGACACATGAGCACAGTGCTGTTTCCATGGCAACAGGGAAAATGTATGCCTTGCCATGAAGCAATCTTCTTAGATTTAGACACACCTATAAAGATCCATGTACTGAGAGCTCTGAGGGAGATATTTTGAAACCAAAAGAAAAATTATTCTAAAATTCTTTGAGATGACCTGTAAGATTCAGGCCATCATCCTGTCTCCCCAGCCATTCTCTTGTGCTGGACCTATCTGTACTTCCAAGATGAGTGTCAGGTACATTCTGGTGGTAAGGTAGAATGGACCTTATTACTATTGTTCCTGAAAGCAAACTCATAGGCCCTTTTCTTATTGAAGTTGTATCATGAATGTGTGTGTGTGTGTGTGTGTGTGTGTAGTAATAGGGGAGGGATATGAGGAATCATCAGGGTCAAAACTGTGAGAAATTTGATTATATATCCAAGATTCTTATAGTAGTGATCCTTGGTCTGGAAAGTCTGATTTTTTTGAGATGGTGAAAAATAAGGAAGCCTTTGTTTTCAGCTCTCCGTGTTTATTCACAAACTTTTCCTTTCTTCTGATCTCACCTTGGAGTGTAGACAAAGTCCAGTGTAAGACTTAATATTCCTTTTGCCTTAAGTGAGCAAGTTGACATCTGTGGCTCTGCCCCTCCAGGGGTGATCTTCTCGGAGCTTTTCCTCAAAGATGTATAATGTGCTTTCTAGCAGTGGCTCCTTACTGATTAATTAATTTCTAATCAATTCCCACAAGTAACAACAGTATTGTTGACTTATTTCATTTTCTCATCTCTTAGTGGCTAGAACTTCCAGAAACAATGATCCCAATGAATAAGAATGTCTTGAGGGTTTAAACATATTTTGAAGAGAGTAAGCTTAGACATTTATCCATAATAGTTTCCTCGAGGGAAACTTGCATTTTTCATTTTTTAAAATATATTTTTATTCATTTCATAGAGGAAGGGTGAAGGAGAGAGAGATAGAAACATCAATGATGAGAGAGAATCACTGATGGGCTGCCTCCTGCACGCCCCCACTGGGAATCGAGCCGCATGTGCCCTGACTGGGAAGCAACCCTTTGACCTCCTGGCTCATAGGTGGACATTCAACCACTGAGCCACGCCGGTCAGGCGCATTTTGCATTCTTAACCTGCAGTCTGATATTGGCTGCACAATGTGCCACCCAGCGAGCAGGAGTGTATGGCTCTTCCAGGCTTAGGTCGTCATGCTCAGAACTGAATCCAGCATCAGGGTCCACTTTTTAGAGCAAGTTCCACTGAGAATAATGGTCCCTTACTCTCAGTCCATTAAGCACGTAGCTGAGCAGAAAGCAAGATCGTCATTCAACTGTGAGCACTAAAGACAGTGTGCACCTCAATAAAGAACAATGCCGGGCTGAAGTCACAGACTGTAAGCTGGGTACAAAGGTGAATAAGACAGCAGAGTGCTGGCACAGAGTCCCTCAGGAAGTACCATTGATGCTCATCCCCTCCTACACTCACCTGTCGTACAAGATCAAAGGATGGTCCAGTTCATCTTAACAGCAAAACACTTCCTTTGCTTTATTCAGAGAGGATGAATTGCCTTCCTCACCAGGGACAACGTGCCCTCCTCTCAGGAGCTAGAGATGCAAATCAAACCCAGCTGGCCACTCCTGCTGCCCAGCGTGGTGTCCTGTAGGTGAGGTCTATAAGAAAAGAAGAAAACCAACCTCCTCTGAATTCTCATAGCCACAGCTGTCCACAGTCACAGGAGCAGGGACCGTTAAGTAATACACGCATTCCTTTGCTTCCTTTTCTCCCTTTCTTTGCATTTCCCAACGGATTAAAACAACTCAAGTTCAGCTCGGAAAACAAAGAAACAATGCTTCCTAAAATGCTGTTACTCTTTCTATGGGCTGCACACAGCACCATCATGAGGATGCAGTCATAAGCGAAGTGGCTTTGCTAGCGAGGTTTGCTTATTTGCATGAATACATTGAACTTAACAATATAAAAAAACAAAGACTGTATTATGTGTTCTACTTTTACAATTGCTATGCTTTCTGTGGCGTCATCCTAAGCATAGTTCATTCCTAGCTGGCGCCATTTCTCGGTGTTTAAAATCACCTTCACAAGTTCCTATGTAATGTTTCCCTTTTATAGAAACAGCTTTCTTTTCACCAGGTTTCAGTTGGTCTAATGATCTGGTTAACCTGCAGCATCGGACTCTCACCATCTCAGGCCGAGTGAGCGTCGCCTGTTACCTGGGTCGCTGCAGGGGCCTCCTGACTGGCCTTCGACCTCCCCCTTACCCGCTTGGGGCTCCTTCTTCAAACAGCAGCCAAGGCTGTGCTTGAACATGGACATGAAAACATGCCGGTCCTCTGCCCGGCGCCTGGCAGGGCTCTCCGTCTGACTCAGAGCGCAAGTCAGTGTCTGTCCGATAGCCCCGGAGGCCCGCCGTGGCTGGGTCCCACATGTGACACTATTGCTCTGCACGGTGGTCGCTGTTCTGGCCACGCTGCCTTCTCACTGTTCTTTGAACACACCATGCGCTGTCCATTCCCTCTGCCTTGACCGCTGTTTCCTATGTAAAGGCACCATTGCTTCTCTCATTTCCCTAGTGTTTGTACTTGAATGTCACCTTCTCACAGAGACCTCCCCTGCCCACTTTATTTATAAGCACATTCTGTCCCCCGCTCCAGCTCTCCTGGTACTCTTTCCTGTGCCCTGTGATTTATTTTTTCCATTAAAGCTTATCGCTTTCTAATGTACGACCGTTTCCTGAAACATACTGTGTGCTGTGCTGTCTGCCCCAGAAGGATATAAGCTTCAGGAGGGCAGAGAGCTTGGCTCACTGCTGTACTCCATGCACAAAACAGTGCCTGTTCCATAGTGAATACTAGGAAATTCTTGCTGAATGAATGAATGAATGCATGCATCCCCAGTGTCTAGAGCTATTGACACACAGTAGGCTCTTATGCCTGTTGAATGTCTCTCCCTGTGATATGACCGTGCAGCGTATCACAGGGGCTCGGAAGCCTGCAGGCTCTGCCTCCGCTGGCTGGGAGCCTGGGCCTTGCCACGTCCTAGTGGCATGACCTGGGTAATTCTCTTAACCTCTGAGCCTCTCTGTTTTGTCATCTGCAAACTGGGGATGAGAATAGCACCTCCCTTAGAAAGCGGTTGTGAGAATTAAATATGAGAATTCAGAAAATAAGTCTGGTAAATGATCACTACACTTGAGCTGTGATGCTGCTGATTATGCTGATGCTGATGGCTTATTCTCTGACTCCTCTTCCCAGGGAAATCGCTTCCACATCCATTCTTACCCTCAGGGAGGCAAAAACACACAACATCTTAAGTGAAAACAGTGTGTAAACCATACACCACTCTACAGATGGCGAGTCTTCTAAATGCCCCGGAGGACCTGGTGACCACTATGGGCTCTGAGTCAATTGGGGAACGGTCTTAAGTCTGAAAAATACACTGGATCCGATCACCAGCGAGGCTCCCTTCTATGGCAGGGCCCCTTCCGCTGGCACCGCAGGGGTGGGTGGAGGGCTGTGGCTCTATTTCCAAGTCCGTCTTCTCTCCCCTTCCTCCCCAGGCTGCCAGAACCTTTGGCGGAAGTGAGATCTGTAGTCAGCTCGCTGGGTGGTTCCTGTACATGGGCTGTTCCTATTGTTCAAAGCATGAAACTGTCTACAAGCGGATTGTTTACAGAGCTTTTCTTTTTCCAGAGCCGCTCGCATGTGGCAACTCAGGCCCTATTTGCCCTAATACTCACTTTCTCTCATCCTTCCCACCAAGAGCCTTTGTTTGTGATAACATCCGGCTCTGCTGGGCACGTACCTCACCTGGCACAATCCTCTCCAATCCCTGGAAGGAACAGCCCCCACCTACGTACATGGTGGGGAGGAAGTAAGATTTCTGCTCCAAGCCGGCAACCTCTCTCTGAGGTCATGTCATCCGGACACAGAGAAATAAACATGCTGTTTCTCCTTTTAAGTGGCATTGGTCGAGGAGTCCGTCTTTCAGACAGAACCATGGAAACGGGCAGTCAGGTATGATTGCCTGTGAGTGTTCCTCGCAGGAAAAATAGCTCCTAATTGCACGAAAAAGAAAGGAGCCAGCTGCTGCTTTCATGATTATTTAAGCACCCATCCACCATCAAAACACGCCTCATTGTTTCATTGCCACTGAAATGTGATTGCCACTACACTTTCTACTGGCCTCTCCTCTATGCAAATTGGGGGGAAGAAAGAAACTCATGAGGCACCCATTTGGTTTCTAAATGTATTGTTTGCATATAGACATCAGCAGCCTGAAAAGATTCTAGCCCGGGAATGTCAAACTGACAACACTGTCTGTTCCTCTATTGTTCTCTCCGAAAATATAATTTTTAATGTATCCTTAAGAGCAGGCCTGACTGTTTTATCAGTGATTTAGTAAGAGACCAGAGGCCTGGTGTCCCAACTGTGGGCTTTGGGCAGCAATGAAAACCATCTTGGGGAGAGTCCACTTTCTAGATTAAAAGAATTCATCAACTTGAAAAAATTTTTGTTCCCACCTTTTCTGCTGACAGTTGGTGTTTGTGCTGGGGGCTGATAATGATTTGTACAGCATTTTATAGAGTTCAAACGTTTCTGCCTCTGGTACATCATATGACATTCCCAGGGACCCTGTGCAGGAGGTAAGGGCAGTTTTCTCTTTTCTTTTTCTTAATATTTTTATTATTATTATTATTATTGATTTCACAGAGAAAGGGAAGGGAGAGAGAGAAACATCAATGATGAGAGAGAATCATTGATCAGCTGCCTCCTGCACGCCCCCCACTGGGGATTGAGCCTGCAACCCAGCCATGTACCCTTGACCAAAATCGAACCCAGGACCCTTCAGTCCGCAGACTGGAGCGCTATTCATGAAGCCAAACCAGGTAGGGCAAGGGCAGTTTTCTTCTATGGGGCTGTTTCCAGCTCTAATAGTTGTGACCTTTAGAGGATTGAGGACTACTTGGTTTTAAAAGAGTTTCAACAGGAAGTCACTTGCTCTTCTGGTTCAATAGGTTTTAGTTCTGGGCCCAGGGAGGAAAAAAACAATATTAATAATAGCCAACACTTACCACCTGTGTGCCTTGTGGCAGCACAGTGCCGAGTGCTTCGTGTGCACTATCTCATTTTTGCTTCCAAATGTACCCCTCTGAGATATGTTCTAGTATGATTTCCAGTTTACAGAGCAGGGAACTGAGCTCAGAGAGGCTGAGTAATTTCTCCGAGGTCACACAGCTAATTAATGGTAGAGGATGGGTCTGGGCTCAACAGCCTGATTTTGAGGTCTGTGCTTTTTACCTTCAAGCTGTACTGCTTCCTGCTATGCATCTATCTACCATGTGCCCATCCAACAGATGACAACACACCACAATAAAACAGTAATCACGAATACTATGCTGCGATAAAAAAAAAAAAGAGATCAGCCGAAGGACTTGTATACATGTATATAAGCCAAACCAATGGACACGGACAACAGGGGGATGGGATCGTGAGTGTGCGGGGCAGGGGGGGAAGGTTAGGGGTTAATGGGGGGGGGATGAGAACACATTTGTAATACCTTAACTAATAAAAATATATATATATCACACAAAAAAACAACCCAGTAATCACATCAGGTATCTCTCTAGGACCAGGAGCTATAAATACACTATCATATTCAATCTTTACGACAGCCCTGCAAGGGTGGTATCTAGTATCCCCTTCTACCTACCAGGAGAATGACATTCAGCGAGGCCAACTGCTTTCACATTACAGAGTCAGTAAATGGTGGAGTTGGTATTTACACCTACACCTTTTCTACATGTTTTTTTGTTTTGTTTTGTTACCTCACTCTTCCTGCCTAAGGCACCCAATGCTGTATGGTATATTGGACCAGAAATATATGCTAGTGGGTGCGCACACAACATGAGAAAATGCCTATGCACAAGAAGCAAGATGCTGTCAGTATAGTTGGAGTGGTAGGTATTTGATTTCATTTCCCAGCCTGCTTTGCAGCTAGGGTGGCATTGTCCAGGCCAATGAGATGTTAAGGGGAGAGTTTACGGTGGACGTGGGTGGGTTCTTTCAAGGCTTCTGCTCTCCTGATAAAAGGGAAAGTTTCTGCTGTCAAGGGCCTTCTCCCATTCTTCCCTCCTTGAACACAGATGGCAATGTTGGCTCTGCAGCAGCAATCTTGTAACCACGAGGCACAAGCCAAATGAATCTCAGAATGGCTGCCCTCATATCAAAGAGCTGCTGAGCCAATACCAATAACCACCTACCTCTGTACTTCCGTAAGCTAGTCTTAATTGGGTATTCTGTTATCTGCAGACAAATACAACCTTAACTGCTACAGAAAGACGAGTTTGAGCAGCCTCACTTGCCTTCTACCTGACAGTTACGTTTGATTTCTTTGTCTATGCCAACTGATTTTCCCCTACCTTCATAAAGAGAGTAGCCTGAATCCAAGTCTAGATATCTTGGTGGCATGGACATGTCATCCAAGCACCTGCTATGCCCACAGCCCCTTCCAAGGAAAGGCACTATTGGTTCTTTACAAAAGAGTCCCAGGCTTCGTGCCAGGTGACTGTGATTTTCAGGCCAAAGCTACTCACCGAAAGCACCCCTCCATGAGTCAGTGAGTAGCCCATGAGGTGGTTAGGCATGCGTACTCTCGCCAGCAATGGCACTGTGTAGATGTCCACTGGCTCGCCTAGGAGACAGGAGTTGGTGATACAAGAATGCAGAAGCCACAAGGCAAGACAAGTCATGGATAAGCAATTGATATGCATCAATAAAAGTCAGGAATAAGCAAAAACGGAGAGATAGAGAAGAGGGAAGTCAAAGAGTGTAACGACAGGAGAATCCTAACTCTAGGGCAGGGAGCCACCAGGGCTGCTACTAGGGAACAATAGATGGTCAGGCCCCTCCCCCGCTGGCCTTCTAGAGTTCTGTGGAGCCACAGGAGGTGCTGTGATCCTGACTGATCCCTGGCCGTTCTCTGTGATTAGTGAAGCCATGTCACCCAGCTTATTCCCCAGAGGCACCCACTATTGCCCCTCGGGTCACACTGGGTCCTGGTCGCCTGAAAGAGCTTAACCAACATGTTGGCCACTCAGGGCCATCATGCCCATCTTTAGTCTCCCTGAGTGTTGCACACACACCTGTGGAACCCAGAGGGTATAGGCAGGGCGTCTGTGGGCCATATTTGGCCCCAATACATGTCTCATTTAACTTACATGGTATCCTAAGAAATGTACATTTGGATGCCTTTCAATGGGGTATACTCTTCCAATTTGTCATGGTCCCGACCCCTCTCTATGCCTGACACTGGCCCTACTTTGCACATTCACATTACCTGCCTGGTCTCTGTAGGCACTTGAATGGCAGCCTCTGGCAGGAAGTTGTGGAGGCGGTCAGGTCAGGTAAGCTGCCCCTGAGTTCCCCTCCACTGAGTCCCCTGGCAGCTGCAGACCCATGCCCTCAAGGCAGGGCACGAACCTGAAAAAACAGAGAGAGACGGAAGGGGGGAGAGAGGAAGAGGAAGAGGAAGAGACAGAGGCACAGAGAGAACTGTTGCCACCCCACAGACCACAGAGCTGGTATCTGCACTTCATCATCTACTTGCTTCTCCGAGTGTCCGCTACTCCCAACTGCCATCGTCACTTCTAATCACACCCAGCTTTCCACCGCAGCCTTTTTGCTCCCTGTCTCCTGTTGCTTTTATTGTGCCGGTCCTACCACATGTACGTATGGTTGACCTCTGTGGTCACAGCCAATTGGCGGGTGCTTTTCCTTCCGCCCAGCTAACCATGAATCCAGGCACGATGTGGTCCCTGGGACAGTGGCTGCGGCAGCAGCCTTTGCAGGCTGGGCCCTCAGGGGCTGTGCTTTACTGGCAATCAGTTCTGCTTTTGTTTTCCGAAGATTTTTGAGTCCGGAGGGATCCTGGAACCCTGAGGGATCTGGAAAATGCGGCTTGTCTCTGAAAATAACAGCCTGTGCAGAGACTGGAAGGAGAGATTACCATGGACTGTTATCTGAGGTGGTAAACAAGTTTTCCTTACAGGGTGGGTTAAACAGGCAAAGAAAGGATTACAAAGAACATCCAAAACTGCAGGGGAGGTAGCCAAGCTAAAGGGGGTTGATGTTGCAGGGCATAATGCACACATGCAGAAGTAGGTGTGTAGGTGCCCATGTGCATGCATGCACACTTATGCACACGTGTACACATGTGTGTGTAGAAGGGTTAGCACTGAGGAGCTGTGGGAAATAAAGTTACGTAGGAAAAAACTATGCAAAGTCTTAAAAATTAGGTGAACAAATTCAGAATCATGTCAGTGGGCAGCTTAGAGCTATTAGAGGGGAGAGAGATTTGGGCCCAGGTACCCATCTAGGTGATGTGCCAAAGGCACAATAGAAGTGGAGAGGAAAGCATCATCCACAAGCCTGGATGTTTGGCTCCATTTGAAGGGCTGGATGGAGGAACCAGTCAATGTTGATTCCAAAGCTTCAAGCTCAGAGTCATCACAGCGGAATGGAAAGGCCAGGAGAGCTGAAAGATCATGAGATCATGTGACATCTCATTCTTCAGAAAGAGCCCTACCTTCCTCACATGCACGTGCCCGCCTATGTGGTTGCCAGAACAGATCCACATCTGGGGTGCCATGGGGAACATGGACAGGCCTCTCTTACCCACATCCCTGGGGTTCTTAGCCAACAAGACTACAGGACCAGAGCTCCCACTAGGCATCAGGTGGCTGCTGGTCTCTCAGTGAGCGCTCTGGCCAGAATGAGACACATGCACACCAGTTAGCTCAGGACCAGCGCTCAGAAGCTCATTGTTTGTCGTGACATCAGAAGAATGCTCACTTTCTTTTGCTGACAAGTAGGTCCTGACCAAATGTGGCCTCATCAGCACACTGGCAGGCAGCCAGCCAAGTTGTTAAGTGGAAACTGACCCACCCCAGGAAAAAAGTGAAGGGCAAAGGCTCATTCCACTCCACATCCCTGCTCTCTGTGTTCCAACAACTTGAAATATCAGCAGCCCGCAAATGGCATCAAGTGGTGAGGCCCCAATAAAGGCAATTGCTTTGAGGCTGTTCAATCTTCTGCTGGGAGTTGGAGACCCTTTCTGCATCCCCAGGACCGACACGATGGCTCCCTGGGAAGATGGTCCCTGGCATAAACTGTCTAATTCTCACAACATGTCACTTCAGTTTTCAGCTTGCTGTGGATTTTAGAGCATAGCCCAGCAGCTACCTCTTGGGTCTGCATCACCCTGGATGCTAGCATCTAAACCTCACTGTCACTAGACCACTCCATTCATTTAGGGACATTTGGCTTTCCTCTGCTTCCAGGCATTCTGGAAATCGCAGGTGGGTCCACACAGCATGTAGCATAGTGAGCGGGTATTCTGTGTATAGGTTTTGTGCACAGAGAGCTAAGCTGGAGTCCCAGCTTGGTTTCTACCAGCTGCTCTGACGTTGGGAACATTAACTAATTTTTCTAAGCCTCAGTCTCCTTATCAGTAAAATGAGGATAATAATACCTAGTTCAGAGTGCTGTTGTGATGAATAAATTATATGTAAATGCTGTGTTAGTTAGCTATTGCTGCGTAACAAATCCTACACCCCCTCCCTCTCCCGCCAAACATGGTGACTTAAAGCAATGAGAAGCATTCACTGTCTCAGTTTCTGAAGATCAGGAATTTAGGAGTGGCTTAGCTGGGTGGCTCTGATTTGGGATTTCTCATAAATTCAGTCAGATGTCAGCTGGGGCTGCAGTTATCTGAGGACTAGACTGGGGCCGGAGGATCCACTCTAAGGTTGCTCGCTTCGTGGCTGAGAAGTTGGTGCTGGTTCTTAGCAGGAGGCCTCAGTTCCTCTCCACGGGGCCTCTGTAGACTGCTGGAGTGTCCTCATTGCTCGGTGCCTGGCTTCCTCTGGAACAATCAACGCAAGAGACCAAGGCAGAAGTTGCAATGCCTCTCATGACTTAGCCTCAGAAGCCATACGTCACCACCTCCACTGCACTCTATTGGTCATACAGGCCAGCCCTCATTCAATACGGGAGGGGGCTATACAAGGGCAGCAGTGCCAGGAAGCAAGCATCATTGAGGACTGTCTTGAATGCTGGCAATCACAAGGGCTTGTACAGTACCTACCTAAGTGGTAGCTGCTAATAGGATTGTTATTTGCTTCTTATCATCTACACACACACACACACACACACACACACACACACACACACAGAACCATTCCTTTCCCTTTGCTCTAAAGTGTCCAGTCGTTGCTGTTCTTCTCCCAAATCTCGTGGTCTGCCTGTCCCATGGTAATGTCAGAAAGGACAGCACCCTGTGGCCTCACAAGGGTGACTCAAATATTCTGACACTTTTTCCTCTTCCAGTTCTTTCCTCATTTATATAATTAGAATCCTCCCAGGCACGTCTTGATTTCGCTGATGACTTGAATGTCACAGTCAGCCAGGAACTGCAGGACATAAGCAATCACCGCAGCAGGAAAGATGCTGACTTGCAGTTTGTGGTGCAGCCCTGCTGGGCAGAGAGCTGTGAACCAGGTCACCCCTGGGACAACAGCAGAGATGGTGCTGGAAATAAAATGTCCATTAAAGGATCAACTAGAGCAGTGGTCGGCAAACTGCGGCCCCTTGAGTGTGGCTCTTCACAAAATACCACGTGCGGGCGCGCACGCACAGTGCGATTGAAACTTCGTGGCCACACTCAAGGGGCCAAAGAGCCACATGTGGCTCGTGAGCCGCAGTTTGCCAACCACTGAACTAGAGAAGTGTGCCCTCCCTCGGGCTGTGCTTATCAGCAGCAGGCCAAGCACCTGGTTCACTGGAAGCCACCGTGACCGTGACTTTCCCTGTATTGTCAGAGCGGGTGCTGCTCGCTCAATGAGGCTCAGGTGGGCTAGTGATAGGACGGCTGAGGACATCTGAGTGGCAGAAGTTGCCAGTTGTTTCCCGATGTCATTTCTTCCCTTCTTCTACAGGAACAGAGCCCTAATCTATAGCTGAGAACAAGGTACCCCAAAATAGCAGCCATATTTGTCAGGCTCCCTTAATAAAATTCTGGCCAATGGGACATCAGCGGAGGTCATACGTACAACTTCTGGAGAGGGACCATGCCTTTTTCCTCCTCATCCTCCTTCCTGCTTGCTGGGATCCTTACTAAATGACTGGACCACCTGGATCCGTTTTGGACCATGAAGTGAACTTGGGAATGGATGCCGCTTATGACAGAGCAAAAAGGTAGAAGAAACCTGGTCCGTGACACCAGAGCGCTCCCTTGCAACTCTGGGCTGCCTGCCTCTAGATTTCTTGAACATTAGAAAGAGATCAACGTTTAAAAAGTAAAAAGCCATTCTTACTTTGTTTGCTTTCTTTCTTTCTTTTTTTCTTTCTTTTTTTTTGTGTGTGACAAACCTGTGTGTGTGCTCACACAGGTTCCTATTGCAGTGGCCATGATTACAGTTCTTGCACATGGTCTGCCACCAGGGTATGCATCTGCCTGCTGCAGGAAAGTCTGCAGAAATGACCCCAGTAGGAAGAGGGTAAACCATCATTTCTAGTTTCATGTAACACTGGTTGAGCTGCCCTAATATGCACAAGGCACTGTGGAGGAGGTCAAGCAGTTGTCTACAGAGTGTACTGTGAGTTTCTCCTCCATCTTGGGCCCTCTGTGATCACCACTCTGCTCATCCATTTGTTCTTTCATGTATGCATTCATCTGTCCAACAAATACTTATGAAGAACTTCCACATATCAGGCGTGATATGAGGTGTCAGCATCACAATGACAGCATTCCATCTAGCAAATAGAAAGGACCCGTGAGGTGCGGTACAGAGTGGAGGAGTTTTATAGGCAGAGGGGACAGGACGAGGAAGTTACTAGTGAAATGTGACTGACTTCAGGCAAGGCCACCTTCCTTTAGGGGGAGATAGGAGGTCTACCAGGCAGATTACCTGACTAGTGCTGAACAGGTAACTCCATGTTGACTGTTAAGATCACATTCCTGGGAGAGGCTGAAACTGTAACCAGGTCAGGTATTAGGCTTGGTTTGGGGACATGGGCTTAGCACAAGTGACTCTATTTGGGCCTGTTGAGTCTTTTTAATACTTTTTCTCAGATTAAAACAAAGAAAACTGTTATCACAGCCAGGATTCCCATATCTGTTACAAAGGGGTAAAATTAAAGGGACTATAATTTAGTTGAAAAAAACACAAAAAGTTGCTGAAATTCAGTTCTGCTGAGTCCTCATACATTAAAACCTGTGTGTGTGTGTGTGTGTGTGTGTGTGTGTGTGTGTTTATATGGTATGGGCACACACAGGCACACACAGATTTAATTATTTATATAGGGGAGGGCATATGCCTAAGGGATTTACAAACACATACACACAAATATGTGTGTATTAATATGTGTATATTTCAAAACAGAACAATATAACCACTTCTTCTCCAGCTCCAGACTGATATTTCATACAAAAATATTAAATACTATTAAAAAATATTAAAATAAATAAATACTTATTTTCCTGGTTTTCACAGACATTGCTGATCTATACCTGGCTCTCTGAAACAAACCTGTGCCCTAAAACAAGACTAGGTGAGGCTGCTGGCAGGGGTGCTGGGGAGCCAGCAGAGCAGTTACAATCGATTAGAAGGTGGACACTGGCAGCTGATTCCTTGCCAGCTCTCCCTGCCACCCTCCACTCCCCTGGAAAAAAAACCTGCATATGGACTCAGCGACTCCCTTCTTTGAATTCATATCCGTAGGAAAGACATAAAGAGGTTTCAATTATGTTTTAAAATTCAGTCGTACTCGAAATTTCTCAAGGCAAGGAGCCACGCAGGACTGCAGTTGGACGATGAAGTTGTAATCAGATCATCTGGCCTGTCTGCCTCCAGCGAGGCTGTCACTTCCCAACAATGAGTTCCCTGGAGTTTTCTGGCTTGGAGTCGAGCCCCTGGGACACTGCCTTCCTGGTAAGCAGACCATGAAATGAGGCAGAGGAGCGCTCGCTCTCGCTCTGGGTTTTTCTTTTTCCCCAATGTAGTTCCATCTGCGGTTTCTGTCAGTTCTAATACGCGTAGTTAGAAGTCAAACCATCCCACCCTCCAGCCAAATCTTAACAAGGAGAGAAGGTGGAAAGTCCGCATTAGGTCCTTTGTGTTTTTTAAATTCCTCACCTAAGGATAATTTTCCATTGATTTTTAGAGAGAGTGGTAGGGAGGGAGGAGAGATGATAGATAGATAGATAGATAGATAGATAGATAGATAGATAGATAGATGAATAGAGAGAGATGAGAGACACATCAATTGGTT